TCTGTCTGTGTTCACAATTATTAGGAGAGCAGATAAAATAGAAAACATGAGTGACGTATGCTGGAGTGAACTGACTGTTTGAAGACGGATCATCAATTCTAACATCGAAGAAGATGGAGGGACTGAAATCTTTTTCAAGTAAAAAATGGACCTAAAAGTTCTGAGGAAAATATTTGGTACATCACATCTGTCCAGGTGTGTCACAGCTGGTCTAACAGTGGGCTGCAAAGAGGAGAAAAAAGAAGCTGATTCCATTTTAAAGCTTGAATAAATCTAAGAAAGGAAGGTTTTAGTTGCTGTTGAATAAAAAAAAGGCTTGAAAAAATATGAAGAAATGGATGCAGAACTTGAAAAGCTCCTGCTCTGGCAGTTTCACCAACTTCTTAAAGTTATTTCTGACTTGTAACATTGGACAATATTTCATAAACATTTGCTTCATCTAAGCTGTATAATTACTGTAGGCTGTTTAGTTTTTATAAATTAAAGAAATATAGTGTCACACAGACATTGCCATGTTAAAGATGCTGCAAAGCATTCTGGGTAAATGATGACGCTAACAAGGTGAAGATTTATTCTGGACAATATCTGACGTTCAGTCCTTTGAAATGAAACCAGAGAGCACTGACAGGGAGGAGAATGTAGAAATGACTCAGCCTATTTATTAGCTCTAGAGCTAATAAATATAATGTTAGCTCTCGTTATATGCTCACCGGCCACTTTATTAGGTACACCTTGCTGGTACCGAGTTGGAACCTCGTTTACCTTCAGAACTGCCTTTATCCTTTGTGGCATAGATATAATACTGGAAACATTCCTCAGAGTCTGGTCCATATTGACATGATGGCATCACACAGTTGCTGCAGATTTGAAGGCTGCACATCCATGATGCGAATCTCCCGTTCCACCACATCCCAAAGATGCTCTATTGGATTGAGATCTGGTGACTGTGGAGGCCATTTGAGTACAGTGAACTCATTGTCATGTTCAAGAAACCAGTCTGAGATGATTCCAGCTTTATGACATGGTGTGTTATCCTGCTGGAAGTAGCCATCAGAAGATGGCACACTGTAAAGGGATGGACATGGTCAGCAACAATACTCAGGTAGACTGTGACATTGACACAATGCTCAATTTGTATTAATGAGCTCAAAGTGTGCCAGGAAAATATCCCCCACACCACTGCACCACCACCAACAGCCTGAACAGTTGATACAAGGCAGGATGGATCCATGCTTTCATGTTGATGATGCAAAATTCTGACCAAATTTTGCAGCAGAAATTGAGACTCATCAGACCAGGCAATGTTTATCCAATCTTCTATTGTCCAGTTTTGGTGAGCCTGTGTGAACTG